TCAATAACACAATTGCTACTGACTCACTAGGCATAACGAAGCCAGGCTGCTCATCTGCAGGGTTCTGCTTACTGCTTCCTGACCTGAGCAACGGATTTGTCACTCAGGTTTCTTTAAGATGTCATGGTAGATCTAGAGCTTATGCTGTCCATGACCAAAGGGGTAGAGCTGGGTCTATCCAACAGAGTGAACCCAAAGAATTAAAGCTAGTTTCATAAAGCAGGTTTTTATTCAGTTCCTTGTACACAGTAATAAATAATGTGCTATTGAATATTCATACACCAAGCAAACAGTCATGTTCCTGTCTTCAGCATTATTATGTCATTTTATTCTATATATCTTTAGGTAATTATAGAGAGTGAGATTTACTTATTTTTCAGTCTTTATATCTTACTCCTTATTCATATACAGTTAATGTGTAAATCTCCTCTAGTCCTACAGAAATCAGTGTTTTTTGGTCTATTATGTAACATTATTATCTGTAACACTCCACATAAAACTCTACTCTTTAATAGTAACAACCAACAATATTCAGAATGCTATACATTCTTAGCTTTACTTGGATTTCTGTTGAAAAAACAGACCAAGTCACAAAACTTTTAGTGTTCCCTTCTGTTGGCACCTGAATTAAAAAAAAAAAAAAAACCTACAATAAGCTTTAACTTACTTTTTGATTAACAACACAACTTTAATTACAAACTCCTGAGTTAAAACAACAGAGAAACACTGAAAGTAGTAAACATCAAGGATGACTGTAATTTGGGAACATGATACAGTTGTGAAAGGGGCCAATAATATCCCAGTGTTTTAATAATTATTTCTAGTAGAGACAGGGAAGCATAATTCAGGATACACATGTTCATCAAGGACATGTTATAGCAGTAACTGGAAGTATGAAAATGGTATGTAAGTGAAGACTAGAAAAAGACTCATTTCGCTTGGAGAAAACAAGAGTAAAGGGAATAATTGCTGTACAGAAATACCCCAAGAAAATATATGAACATGGAAGAGGTGAGAGAATTTTATGTATGAAAAGTGCAAAATAGACATGTAGTGGGTTTACGTGGCAAGGTTTTGGTAGCAGGGGGCCATAGGGGTGGTTTCTGTGAGAAAGATCTAGAAGCTGCCCCATGTTTGGGAAGGGCCCCATTGTTTTCCAGAGCTGAGCCAAAAAGCGATGTTGTTTTGCGCCTCTGTGAGAGCATATTTAAGACAGGGAAAAAAATGCTCTGCCACACAGCAGCTGGGAGAGTGAAGGGAGTGAGGAACGGCCTTGCAGGTGCCAAGGTCAGTGAAGAAGGAAGGGGAGAGGTGCTCCAGGCGCCGGAGCAGAAGTCCCCTGCGGCTTGTGGTGAGGACCATGGTGAAGCAGGATGTCCCCCTGCAGCCCATGGAGTACCACGGTGGAGCAGGGTTCCACACTGCAGCCCATGGAGGAGACCACGGTGGAGCAGGTGGCCCTGCACCGACGGAGGCTGCCGCCTGTGGAAGACCCCTGCTGGAGCAGATTCCGGGCCGGACCTGTAGCCCGTGGAGAGGAGACCACACAGGAGCAGGTGACCTGGCAGGAGCTGCTGCCCATGGGGGAACCAGGTTGGAGCAGTCCCTCCTGAGGGATGGACCCCATGGTACGGACCCATATCTGGAGCAGTTCTGGAAGAGATGCTGCCTGTGGGAAGGCCATGACGGATCAGTTCATCAAGGACTGTACCCCGTGGGTGGGACCCCACAGCACAGGGGACGAGAGTGACCGAGAAGGAGCAGCAGAGAAGAAGTGCTGTAGACTGACCATAACCCCCATTCCCCCATGCCGCTCGGGGGGAGGAGGTGGAAGAGGGTGGATGGGGGGGAAGGTGCTTTTGGTTTCTTTCCTTTGTTTCTCACTTCTCTAGCTTGTTAGTAATGAGCAATAAATCTTACTATCTTCTTATGCTGAGTCTGTTTTGCCCGTTACAATAATTATTGCGTGATTTTCTCATCCTTATCTCAACCCTTGAACCCTTTTCACATATTTTCTCCCCATTCCTCTTTGAGGAGGGGGAATGAGAAAGCGGCTGTGGTGGAGCTCAGCTGCCCACTCGAGTGGAACCACGACAAGACACTAGGACTAAATGAATCCACAACTGTTCATAAGGAATGACAGGCCTGACAACAATTCTACCCATTAGAGCAACACAATTAAGGAATATTTACAGGAAGACAGGAGTAGGAAATGTGCAGAAAGCTAAAGTGCTTTTAGGAACTTGCTTCATTTGAGAAATGGAATATAAGACTCATTGCCTGGAAACTAGAATCTAAAGATGCTTTCCACTTCATATGTTCTTTTAATCCCTACTCTGAACTGTCAGGAAGATAAAGTGGAATAATAATAGTCTTAAACTCTCTTCTGTAGATGATATACAAAGGTCCACAGAGACCGAATAAGTTAATATAATAGAGGAAGTAAAATTGTTTTGACCAGAAGACTGTATTTTAAGCATTTGGTTAATATTTAATGACTGGGAACCTCCCTGAATAAAGTTCTTTAAATCTAAATATCTGATATCTGAGTAGTTGCAGTGGAAGCTACAAAATACTTTACAAAAATTATAGAACAGCTTCACAGCCAAGCCTTGCAAATCAGGAGTGGGACAATTCAATCATTTTTTTTCACTTAGCAGCACAATACAATGTTGTTCTCAACATTTTTCCTTAAAGGAAAAGAGAAACAGAAATCAGAATCTGAATTAATTTGAAAATTGTTCCTATTATTGTTTGTCATACAGTGATGCCAAAGTACCATAAATTAGCATTAATCTACATTTACTATTTTAAGAGAATTATAAAAATCTTAAAATATTCCAATTCTTTATGGGAGATTCCAAAAGACTCGCTCTAGTCTTAAACTGGATACACCTATTGAATTAATTATATTTATTCCCAGGACCCAAAATACATTTTTTTTAAGACTACTAAGAGTCTTAAGACTACCAAGAGCTTTTTCCACTTGTTTCTATGATATTCTTCCTATTGTTGCAAATCAACCTTTGGTGAAATTCTTTTAAATTCCATCTAAACAAAACTGCACTTAAGTGGTTTGTCAGCAATTCACAGAATCACACAGAATCACAGAATTTCTAGGTTGGAAGAGACCTCAAGATCATCGAGTCCAACCTCTGACCTAACGCTAACAGTAATTATCTATAAATTTTTAATTAGTAGAGAACAAAGCATTCGTTTGACACTCATACTTTATTTCCATCATTAATGGACAGATGAGTTGCTATGCCTATATATTATCATAGAAAATGAAAATTCTATACAGCACTTACTATAAAGACTGTAATTTTGCTGACTTCTTTTGCAAGTAGAGGAAATGATCAAAATTACCTTGTCATAAAAGGAAATTAATTTCATTAAACAGAACCTTCTTTTTACAAACCTATGTTGGCTGTGACCAATGACCATATTGTCCTTGAAGTGTTTTTCAGCAACTCCCAGAATAATTTTCTCCATAGTTTTATCATAATATATGAGGATTTTACTACATACACTGTTTGAGAGATAAAGTCAGATCACCAACATTGTTCTTCCTGGCTTTAAAGGGATGTACCCAATCCCTTGCCTGAAAATCATCCAGAGAATGACATCTTTCTCTTGAGAGAAAGATCTACCATCTACCACCTACCTTTTAGAGACATGTTATGCCATCTCTTGTTTTTATTTTTCTAAATTAGTTAGTTCTTAATTCCTGACGGTTTCTCCTTTGAATTGAAAATACTTCTATTGCCAATATTTTGACCTTTTGCTAATTGCTCCTGTGATTAAGAGTCCATAGCACAATATTGTCAGCAAAGAAGTACTTTCAGGATATGGAATTATGTAGTTTTCTTGGTGTTCTTCATTGCCTCTGCACGCACCCTAACAATCTGTACAGATCACATAGTAATGGCACTGCAAAGACCACTTGCAATGGTGACTTTGCAGGACCTTTTGTAGTGCTGTATCTGATTAGCTTCAACCTTTCAATCTGTAAACACATCACATATCTGAGAGGTGACCTGCTATGAACTAGAAATCCTGAGGAAAACTTTGGTGTTGAGAACATCAATGTGTACCAGGGAATCTAGGTTTTAAATGGCAGCTGAGGTAGGTCATACTTATTTTCACTGCTTGAAGCCCAAATTTTCTTGCCAAAGTCTGGGTATTGATCAACAGAAAATATCACTGGCATGGTTAAATTCCATGCATGTATTTGTTACATGAAATCAACTAAGTATGTCACTTTTGTAGGACTACAGACAAAAAAAAGATTCATAGAATAAGTCTGCTTTTTGGCAATGTACATAGGAAATAAGTTTGAGGAGCTGTTGCTAGTTTATTGGTACCTTTTGTAGACATCATTAGATTCATTGCTACAGTTTCCATAGTGAGTGTTCTTAAGATCTTGATCCAGTGATAAAATGAAGTCCATGTGGAAGTGTTTACTATCTTTAACAGAATTCAACTGAATCAGTAAAATTTAAACTTAAAAAAGATTATCTTTGAAAATGACCTAAGATCCCACAGTGACTAATTTATTATGAGAATACTGCTGTAATCATAACTAATATATATATATTATATATATATATATATATATATATATATATATATATATATGTCCTTCAACACAAATATCTGAAATCATTACCTTTTTTTTTTTTTGGGGGGGGGGGATGATGGGGGAAGAGGTATTCACAAACAAGTATTGTCTAAAAATATTAGACCTGACTTATCATTAAAGTCTGACTGTTTTAGTGTTGTTCTCAGCTTTATTTCAGCCATTTCTCTACGTCATTTTAACTCTGAGCAATTTTGCATTGTTTCAAATCAAGTTTCTAGCTAGCATAGAATATATAGAGACTCATAGAATGGTTTGGGCTGAAAGTGACCTTAAAGATCATCTAATGATGTTAACATGATGTTAACAAACTTTAAATAAAAAGACTGCTTTAGAAGAGAACCTAATGATGAACTGGTTAGTAACATGACATAGGTATAATTTTTATTAAAATAAGTCAATTTATGAACAAAAAATTACTAGAAAATCTTCAGCCAGTTGTTGACCTATCATATACAATTGAAGAGAAGCTACCAGGAATCAGAGGTGAATCCATCCAGAGGAATCTGTATAGCAGAGAAGAGAGACAAATGGAGGTAATATTAGACCTAAATACTCTAAATGACTAAATACTTCGACAGCTCATAACTCTTTAATAATGTTAAGCTGAGCAATAAAAACTGGGGAAAAGAAGAAGGGGCGACATTGGGAGTGATGGCATTTGTCTTCCCAAGAAACTGTTAACACACGTTGAGCCCTGCTTTCCAAGAAAGTGGCTGAACACCTGTCTGCTAATGGGAAGTAGTGAATGAGTCCCTTGTTTTATTTACCTTATGTGTGCAGCTTTTACTTTACCTTACAAACTGTCTTTATTTCAACCTGTGAGTTCTTACAAGTCTACCTTTCCAGTTCTGTTCCCCATCACAAGAGGGTGAAAATGGTTGTGTGGGTCTTTGCTGTCTACCAGGGTTAATCTACAACAAGTCCATACTTAATATTTATGGTTGAGGTGTACTACATTATAAATGAATGAAGATTTCACAGTCTTATATTATCTTGAATATGAACTTTGGACATTTCTTATGAGATGCAGTCTTTCTATATCATTGTAAAAAAATGGTAAGATTGCAAGAGGAAATAACTTTTCCTACCATGCCACTCAAACTTGTCAGTACCAAATATTTCAATGCAACTACTTCATGTAAATGGGCAGAGAACACACTTAAAACATCAAATGCACAGCAAAGAGCACTGCAGTTAAGGAGAAAACAACAACAAGCAAACAAACAACATCACTTAGGACTAAAGCTGATTTAAAAAAAAAAAAAAGGCTTACATACCTAAAATATATTTTTTTTCTACATTTTTTTTTTGTATGCTTTTATTTTATTTCAACTTTATGTTAGTCTTCTTGCCTAATTCCTTTTAATTTCACTTTCAAATACAGAACATCACTTAAGGAAATTAGTGGAGACATTTGTCATCAATATTCCTTTTTAAAGGTATTTTTATCCTTTCTTCAAAAATTTTCCACATTTGGGAGAAAGAAATAAAAAAAAAATAATTAAAAACAAAACAAAACAAAACAAAAAAAAACAGTAAAAGGAAGCACAGATCACTTCTCTGTTTGAAAACTTTTTATTTCTCCAATATATGATGTTACACAACCTTCAAGATATCCTTCCTGATAACTAATGGCATGACTAAGTTTAACAATTTCATTAGTAGATTTACATGCAGTATACATTCCTAGTATTTGACATGATTACAAAATGTTTAGCATATGAATTCTGATATGTGAAATAAATCTCTTATTTTCCCTCTCTACATAGAATCTTAATGTTCTCCCTTAAATAAAAAGGACTAATGACACTATGTGATTGTGGAGAGATTAAAGGTACATATTGTTGACAAAGCCTTACTGGGTGCTTACATAAACCCAGTATAAAATGTCAAAGGCCTTCAAAAGTCTCCTCTATTTCTAGGCAGGTTCACATATTTTCTAGTTGCCATAGTAGGCTAATGGTGCTACACAGTTCATAGGAAGAGTAAATGACCTCAGTATAAAATTTGCTGTCTAAGAGAAGAATGAATTGCAGAAAAACAAAACAAATTTGGTGTATTAATTGTTGAGCTTGGAGTGGTTCTTTTCCTTATGTGCAGGGAGCAGAACAGAAGATCAAATGGTAGAAGGAGAGGTTATGGAACAAATTAATAAATCAAAGGAAACAAACTGCGAAGGCCAGATGGCAATCACTGCAAAATTAAATAAATGAAATGAAAAATGAAAATGAAAAACTGAAATATGAAATAGCTAAACTACTAGCCTCTTCCCTGAAACTGCTTTATTAGGGGAGGACTGCAAAATAGCAGGAGATACAAGAAGCTAGAGGTTTGTAAGCCTGACATTCACATTCTACTATCACTGTAAGAAGTATAATGAAGTACAGAGGTGTGGACACCTGTCTAAATATGATGATATAAACAACAAATTTTTGTTTTAAAAGAAAATAATGTATCATAGGTACACTGGATTTTGCTGAAATTTGCAAACCTATGAATAATGCAGATCAAAATAATTGAAGCATCCTGGATTTGTAAAGCTTTTTTGAAAGCTTTCACTAAGAGCTCTTCAGGAAATAAGGTGTCTAGGGCACAGGAGGAAAAGATCCTTACATGGATAAATAATTGGTGAAAATGATCTTGAATGGAAAAATGCTTGGTGAAAAGACAGGAAGTAAAAGCAAATTATCTGTTTTCACAAAGGACTTGATCACCAGTGAGGTTGCTTGGGGATTTGTGCTGGGACCGGTGCTGTGTTTGTTTACTGGACTGGTAAACAAACTGAGAAAGGAGAAGAGTGAGATCTCAACAATTTTTGATAATGCAAAACAATTCAGAAGATTAAAAATAACAGCCATCTGTGAAGAATTGCAGAGGACTTCAAGATTCTGTAGGAAACTGAATATAACATAGATAAATGTATAGAGATTCCCACACGCACACACACAAAATAATAATAATAATAATAATTAATAATAATAATAACAACAATAACAATGCTACCTTAACAAAATTATGCTATCTGAGCTAGCCCTTGACATTCAGGGAAAAGATTTTAGGATCGTGACAGATAAAGAAACATCAGTTCAGAGTCTTGTAGAAGTCTAAAAAGCAAATCAGACTTTAGGGATGATTAGGAAGGAACTTTGTAAGGGATAGAATGTCATTATGGACTATCTTAATTCTTGGTGTCTCCCGCTCTTAAAATGTATGTAGTTTTGATATTATATCTTTCAGTTTTGGAAGGTTATGGCAGAGTGGATAAAATTAAGAGAAGAGCAAAAAGAGATGACCAAAGATGTGGAAGAAATTTTGTGCAACCAACAAAGGAATTATAGAGATCTCTTCTGCCTATAAAAACAGAGCTGACTGAGTGGAGGTACAACAGGCATTTACACTCAGACACCATATTTTACTCACCTCTCACACTGGATGCAGTTTACTCAACTGTATCCATATATCACTGCCAAACACAGCTCTTGCCAGAACATAAGTGAATCTTGAACAAGGACTTTCATATAATATCTTCATGGAAAATCAGTCTTTCGTGCTTGAAATGTTCAGCACCAAAAAAAAAAAAAAGAAAAGCTGTGAACAACTTAAAATACACATCTGCCTCCATATCAGGTTACCTGGCTCAATAATTCTCACTCTCATGAAAGAAAGAAAGAAAGAAAGAAAGAAAGAAAGAAAGAAAGAAAGAAAGAAAGAAAGAAAGAAAGAAACTGATAAATTTAACTATTCTGTGTAACTGTGAAAGAAATACCTTCGTATTACAAGTAACATAATAAACAACAACAAAAAATAATAAGAATAATATATATATATAAAAGTAACACTTTAATTCAAGAACAAGCTGCATTCCAGTAACAGCTATCAAAAAATTTCATCACCTTTCAAAACCTTGCTTAAAAACAGGTGTTTGCCACTTAAGAGAGAATCAAGAAACCTGGGGAAAATAAAAACAGTCCCTCCCTTCAAGTACACTCTATCAGGAATCAATAGCAGAAAAGCAACAATAGAAACACTGGAAGAAAGGTATGTTAGAAAGATAAGTTAGAAAGAAATCCTTAATCTTTCCAGATACTTTGGACATGAGCACAAAAAAATAACATTTTTTTACTCTTGTATCAATAGCAGGATCCACCTGGTTATATACACCTCAAGCAGTACATTAGTTAATCACATATTAAAAGGTAATATACCAATTTTTTTGCACACCCAGGTAATGAAAAATATCCTCTAAAATAAAATAAATAAAATAAAATGAAAATTCATTTGTATGTAAACAGAAGTTTTTTAAAGGGCATTAGATTCAAATACGATGTGATGAAATAGCCCTAAAACAGCCCTAAATAAAACATTACTAATAAAAAAAAAAAAAAAAAAAAAAAAAAACTTCCAATACTGAAAAGCTATATATAGTATATATATAGTATCAGTGCTATAAAATTAGGATTTATAACTATCTTTAAGCTATTTTATTTTTCTGAGGTTAATATGTTATGAGGTTAAATGAGGTTAAAAAGTAGAACCTCAACACTAGAATATATGGCCAAGGAATTAAAAACAAAACAAAAACAAACAAACAAAAAAACAATCCCTGCAGATAACACAGAAAATGTTGCAGTTAAAATATATATATATAAAATAATAATCATATAGCAAACAGACAAACAATAAGGTCAGTGTCATAAGAAATAAATCTCTATTTGTCTTCAATCTACCTGAAAAAGTCAACCCCCATCCCACTTGCTAAACATCCATAAAGTACTTTTTACACCCTTAAAACAGAATCAGTTTTTCATCAGTATAGTTATGGACTATTCAGAAAAGATGTCTTTTGCAGTAACAGATAAACTGTCAAATAATGGAAACTGTAAATCACTCAATGAAATGCTACTTATATCCATGCATTGAATGTATGCTGGTAAAGTCTCTAGGTAGAGAGAGTAGGGTAATTTGCAAATGACATTACATATGTATTTGGAATTTTCGAAATCATTTTTTGTTTGTTTGTTTTGTTTTTCCCTTAAAAAATTCACATAGCTTAGGCTTTGCTTTCAACTGTACTAACTAGGAAAAAAATACAGTTCTAAGTAGAATTGCACCAAAAAAAAAAAAAAAATCATGTAAATTCATCAGTCTTTAATGTAAATGACTGCTTTAATGAGCAGCTTGTCATAGCTTAATGGCCTCACTTGGCAATTTTATTTGTAGCACAGATATCAGAATTTACTATAAACCAGCTGGCTCAAATGTTATAAGTAGTTTGGCTATGGCTGTATGAACATACATCCTGGGCAATTTAGCCTCAGACTTTCTGCACCACAGCTACTATGATTCTCATTCCTGAACTTTCTTCAAAGTCAGGAGAGGTGTGTCAGACTGCACAGTCAACAGCAGCATGGAGAATTTCTTAATGACAGAAAGAACCTTGGCATGTATTTGCTCTTTGTAGGTTCAGATTGCCAGAAATAATTTAACGTTGACAGGTGTGTTTCCAGAGTTCTCTGCAGAACTGAGACTGAAAAAAAAAGGTGGTACATTTCACTGGACTTCTTACTTCTTACCTGTGCAAGCAACTGACAGCATCAATAAACTGACAATTTAACATTACTGTGTTGAAGGTGAATTTTGAAGTAGTTTGATGATGGTAGCCTACTAGGTTCTATCTATTCTGAGACCCAACTGTGCTGCATTCAACATGTGTGCACTGCTGTATCGGGTTTATAAGGCAAGTTTTGGCAGGCAGGGGACTGCAGAACTGGCCTCTCTGTGAAAAGTCTAGAAGCTGCCCTATGTTTAGATAAGAGCCATTTCCAGCCACCTCCAAAATGGACACATTGCTGGCCAAAGTTGAGGCATTGAGTGATGTTGGTTGCACCTCTATGAGAGCAGATTTAAGAAAGGGTGAAAATGCCATGCATCAACTGGGAGAGAGGACTGAGAAAATGTGAGAGAAAGAGCCCTGTATACACTAAGGTCAGTGAAGAAGGATGGGAAGGAGGTGCACCAGGTGCTGGAGAATAAGTTCCCCTGTGGCCTCTGGAGATGCCCATGGTGGAGCAGGCTGTCCCCCTGCAGTTTTTGGGGTACCACAGTGGATCAGATTTCCATGCTACAGCTCATGGAGGATCCCATGATGGAGCAGGGAGATATGGTCTGAAGGAGGCTACAACCCATAGAGAACCATAGTCTAGTCCAGAACTCCAGCCCAGCCCACAGAGTGGAGCTCACACAGGATTGGTGGTCTCATAGGAATTGCAGCTTGTGAGGGACCCATGCTGGAGTAGTCCATTCTTGTAGGACTGCACCCCTGGTACTAACCCATGATGGAACAGTTCTTGAAGAACTGCAGCCTATGGAAAGCCCACATAGGGTCAGTTTGTAAAGAACTGCATTCCATGAGAGGGACCTCACACTGGAGCAAGGAAAGAGCATAAGGAGGAAGGAACAGCAGATATGAAGTTTTATGGACTGATCATAGCCCCCAGTCCCCATCCCCCTGCACTGCCTGAGGAGAGGAGGTAGAAGAAGGTGGATGGGAAAAAGATGTTTTGAGTTTGCTTTTAGTTCTCACTGTTCTCTTCTGTTATTAATTGGTAACAGGTTAAATTCATCTTCACTAAGCTGAGTGTGTTTTACCTGTGATGGTAATTGGTGAGTGATTTCCCTGTCTTTATCTCAGCTTATGAGCTGTTTCATCATATTTTCTGCCTGTTTTGTTGAGGAGGGAGAGTGAGAGAGTGGCTGGCTGGTTCTTGGCTGCCTATTGGGGTTAAACCACAACTGCGTAAAAATTCATCAATACAGACTTTCTTTTGCATCGCATGATGCTATTCCAAAAAGAGTCTGATTTTGTCAGCTTAAAAATGCAATGTTTTATAAAAAATATGTTTCTCTGTGGTAGATAGGGTGTCCTGTTGGCCAGTAATGAATTGTATTCCATTACAGAATGCAATAACCTTTTCTTTTTCTGCATGGAAAGCAGAACAGTTAGGTGGAAAAGTATAACATGTAATTAAATGACTTTGTACTTCTTGCAGTGAAGAAATTTAGCCTGCTGCTCAATCTCCCTTCATAGATCATAGCTTTTAATAATACCGCAGGTTGTAAGCAAATCGTAAATAACAAGAAGTGTATGAATGAGCAAGGAAGACTGTGGGAGGGGAAGGGAAATAATTAGCCAATACAACAATTAAGATTCAAAATACATACCAGAAACAGTAGTTAAATGGATTTCACCATTTCATTCACAAAGCCTCCTTGCCATTATTGTAAACTAGCTACTTGCTTGGTTTGTCCTAGCATGCCAAATAAACCCCCTACAAGACAACTAACATGAAAAGAATACTCCACACAGTAAAGTATCTAGTCCTCTAACTTCAACAATTTAAGCAAAAAGACTTTAAAATACTCTCCCATCTGGCATTTTTTCCTGAAAAACTTGAAAATAGGACATCAGAGACATCACGAAAAACAGTACAGCTATTTAATAGTAAAGAAGAGCGTCTATTCTGTTGACAAAGTAAGATTAAGCAAGCTTAGCACTTCAATTCTTTTCAATGGAACTTGGTTCTGTATTGCCCTCATTAACTTCTTACTATTGCATTTGTGTCATTCCTTGGCTGTTCAGAATCTGAAACAGTAATTTTTCTCCAGCAAGAGTTTTCTCTTTAATAATGTTATAACAAAACAGTCATTTTCACTAAACAAGGAAACTTTGATGTAATTTCAATGTATTTATTAGAAGAGATGTGCAACAAGAAAGAACCAGTTATAAAATGATCACTTTCAGGCTGTTTTTGGCTGTCCATAACAAAGTTTAAAAGTCATGCAAGTTGGGAAGTAGGATTTTATTTTATTTTCATGGGAAAAAATGGCAGCTTCTAAGGATGAGTAGGAAGCTTCTAAGTCAAAGGAAGTTTAAACATCTCTACCCCTCACCCAATACATAACTCCTCCTGTCAAGTAACACATTTTTCAAAACATCTGTATTCACGAAGAATGGATGATGTTGCAAGCTTCTTAATGAGTTTTCACTAGTCATTTAAACCATGAGATTTTACATAAACATTTTATTTAGTGTGGCTGAAGACCATAGAGTCAATAAATATAGTTTGATTATCATGAGTAAGCCAAAGCAGCATAAATGAATAGTTTCATGCATAGTTTCTTAATAATAGATTCTTAAAAATTTATGAAATACTTTAAGACTTATGTGACTTTTGTGGGCAGTTCTAAAAGTATAATGTGGTTGAGATTGTACTTTAACTTTCACATACACCTGAGAAGGCAAAACTTTAAATATGATTTCTGTTTATTTCAGCTTTCAGGGTTAAGCTTATCAAACAGCACACAAATTGCAGTACAGGCCACTCAAATAGAAGTAATGTCACACTTCTGTTTTGCATAGCAGAATAAAACTACAGACAGATTTTCCTGTGTATGTATGAGATTCCGTGGTTTGTTCTTATTGTTCTTTCTGGCTTAGACCCATCCTTTCTCTAAACAGGAGAAGTTGCTGCAACCTTAATGAAGTTGTATATTCCCACTTCTTTCTTCCATATATTATACATTTAAGAAGATCTATAGTTATACCTTGAAGGCCTATGACCATCTTCATAATTGTTAGGAAAAAGCACAATTGTGTTGAATGATACCTGAAACTTAATGTGCTAAGAATATGACATTTCATCATAGTATAGTTAATACTAGGAATATAACCTCACTGGATTATAGTCAACTTTCTTCAGTGATACTGACAGTCCTTTATAAATTAATTGCTCAACGTACATTCTGAACTAATCCATCTTTGCTGGCAGTTAAGACAACTCCTTAAATGTCAGTTCCCTTAAAATATT